CAGAGAGCATCTCCCACCCGCTGTAAGCGTCGGCCCAACCTTCAACGCTGACATTGTGTTTTCTCTGCCTTCCTGTGAGAAACTAACTGTCAGCAGTTATTTGCTGTGCTAATACAGTTCTTACGGGCAAGGAGAGTGCTTGTGAGCAGCACTCCAGATACATGTCCTAAGGCAGGGCCTCCCCCTCCAAGGGAGGAACATGTGGTTGTCACCACAGCTCGAAGGAGTACTGGAGGAGCCTGGGGGAGGATGGACAGCACATGGAGATGCGCAGAAATAAAGTTTGTGCTGAGTTGACTTAACGAGAGAGCGCCACCCCGGCGACAACTTGGAGCAAAGAATAAATTAAACTCCTTCTAAAGGTTTTGATGTTGCTGGCGAAGTTGCTGAGTGCAGGAGTTAATTTTGTGCCTGAGGGTGGGCAGCCTTCCCAATGCAAAGATGTCCCAAGGGAGCAGAGAGACTTGATGGCGTAATGGTTGCACATACTGTTTACTGCAAGGAGCAGCTCACTCCTCAGTTTAAACAGTGTTAACTGTTCAGTTTAAACCTGACTTTTCATGGCTCCCTGTTTCACCGTAGGCTTTTTCCCGCTGGCACCAGCACCAGGAGCACTGTAGGGTGGACACAGCCTTGTGTTTAGCTCAATCTCTGCTCTCTGCCATTAGGACTGTCAAGCGCAAGAAGCTTGGCCACACCGGCTTCCCTAGCTGAGTACTTGTGTGCTTATAGTGGCTTTCTCTGTAGGTGTTTCTTGGTAGCCAGAAGCAGCAGTGGGGACCAGTATATCCCACTGTGCTCTCAGCTGCTAGCCAGCTAGACTAGATGAGCAATATCTCTTCTTGTGCATTGGAGCATTCTATTTCCACCTATCAGCAGGGCAGGACCTAAACCCTGTACAGACCCTGGCCTTGCTAATGGCAACAGACCTTGACAAGAGCAGTCTAGCTCAAAGAACAAAATGGGGATCTGGTGCGGAGCCCTACAGAATGCCCCTTTGTTGTGGGAGAGCAATTGCTCAATAAAAGAAGTCATGGCTAATGTGATGAGGATGTATTGGGGCTTGCCTTCGACCAGCAACTGAGCACCCTAGCAGTACAACTCAACCTATTGTGTTGGTTTTTTTTTTTCTATTCCCTCTTCATCAAAGACCCTTTGGGAGTTCTTCTGGAACCAGTGTTCTCAGGTTATGTTCTGCTGTTGGACTCTTCTGTCACATCCTGACCACTGTGTATTTTCTTATAGATTGCCGTATCTCCAGGCAGCAGCGTCAGTTCCCTGACTGCAGTCACAGCTATGAGTAGCACTTCTGTCACAGATGCCTCTATGCCCAGGTAAATAGAGCATGTATTAAATAATATATCCGCAGCTGAACTGATACGGTTCTTCAGGGTGACACAGAGCTGTAGTGTATCTTGTAAGAAAGGAGACTGTCACCAGAGTTAGAAACTGTCCTGGGTCTCAACGTCCCTATATGGGCAACTGTTTGCAGCTTGAGGCATGCCTGTTGTCATCCAAGGGGCCAGCAACAGTGTTTCACTTGTGCCTCACAGGGATTCTTTCATTGCGTCTCAGTTTTGTTGCTTTACATACTTCTCCCAAAGGGCTGTCATTGTTTACAGGTAAGAGAGCACTGCAGCCACCAAGGACAGGGAGATAATTGGGACTGTTAGGAAAATCTTACTAGTCTTGCGGTGGGTTGGGCTGCATAACAAATGAAAACTTCACTTCTGGGGGCTGGGAAAAGGACAAAGACCTACCCTTTAGTGTTCTCTTTCTCCCTAAACTCTGTACCGTGCACACTGAAGATATAACTGGTCCTTTCTCTCATTGACCCCTCGAATTCTAAGAGATTGCAATGCCATTCTTTTTATCTTTTTTCTAAATTTTTTTTTTATTTCCCTGTGGTATCTCTTTGGGCTGTATGGGGACTAGGAGATGCAGGTGCTCGTTGACCACGGTGGAAGGAGCAAGGGCTTGGAGAACGCTAGTGAAGTTTAGGTGGGGCTCCTCCATTGACTTGTGAATCCTGTCTCTTCACAGCGAGCGTTTGCAGATCTGTATCCTTAGGTTGGTCTGCTTGATTTGTTTGTGTCTCTGTTTTCTGCAGGCCATCGGAAGACTTGACTGTGAGCCCCAAGTTGCAGCAGGACACCAGCCTCGCGCTGAGTAGCAGCAGCAGTCTCCAGACTAGTCCTAGGAGCCATTCAGTTCTTATCCCAGGCCTCCCTGACAAGCTGGCACCAAAGGCACCCGTTCCAGTAACGCTCCAAACGCTGCTCCCTTCCTTCTCCTTGTGGGCCAAGGGGCCTCTCTCTATCGGCCTGTACAAGCTGAAATTAGATTTATTTGGGTATTAACAGGGCCAGCGTCTGCCCTTTGGAAAACACAGCCGCTGGCACAGATCTGCAGCCGGGTTTACCCATGTTAATGGAAGTTGATCTCGTGTAAAACAGCATGTCTGAAAACGAGAGACAACTCTAACTTGTGCTGTCACTATCACAGTGATGGACATGGTCAGCCTTTGGGTTAGGAGGCAGTGCCACCTGGAAAGATTTCTTCCTCCTTGTTGGTCTGATGGGTCTGAAACAATCATTTCCTAATCCTAAGTTTTTCTTTCCAGGTGTGACGTAAAACATATTATGACCAAAACTTGAAACTGAAATAAGCTTTCAGTCCAGGAGATATTCAATGTTAAAACTAACTTCTTCCCTCAAAGAGAAGGGATCTTGGAATAGAGCAGGGAGGTAGAACTGGTGTTAGATTTTTCTTTTGAAACTCTGTTCAAACTGTCGTTGGCTTAAGTGCGGTGTTAGCCCAGCTGAGAGGCCATTACAAGTCTTGGGGCCCTTCTCTGTCCACTGAACAGAGCGGGAGCTGAGGGATCGCATGAGGAAAGGACACAGCTGGCTGTTTCCAGAGGTGGTTGGTGTAAGGTACCAGGGGTTTCTTGGGGTGTCTCCACATTTACCCTGAAGGCTCTTGTTTGATTTTTGCGTTCAGGTCACGCCAGGAAACCCCTCTCTAGCACTGGAACTGCAGGAGGTGGAGCCCTTGGTGGTGCCCCAGGCTTCTCCCACCCGCGAGCGCTCTCCAGATGTCATTTCCTCTGCTTCCACAGCCATGCCCCAAGACATCCCAGAGATTGCTTCCGAGACCTTGCAACGCAGCTTTGCAGCAGCTCCATCTGGGCTCCCTGCAGAGGTGCTGGAGCCCAGTCATCATGCAGACAGTATGGCATCTGCTGCCTCAGCCTTGCATTTGCTGTCTCCAAGGAACCGACACAATTCAGAGCACAGCCACCGCTCTTTGGACATGCCTCCAGTGGAGGTGGACAGACTGAATGCTCCATCATTACTGGAGACTGCTTTAACTCAGGAAAATGCATCTTCTGACAATGTTGTGAGTCAGCCGTGGCCAGCAGCTCCTGACATAACCAGAGAAACCAGGAACAGCATGGCAGACAGGTAATCACTTGAGTTTGTCTTGCTTGAGGCAATTTCTTTGCAGTTGCCAAATTGCTAGCGTGGTGAAAAGCTCCTATGTTGTGATTAAACCAGAGCAGTTCTCTATCCCTCCTTTTCGTAAAGGATCTGATGATTCAGCCTTCCTTTGAGCTTGGTCTGTATATGCTGTGTCCTGAACTTCCTAGGCCAGCTCTGACAATTTGTGCTCTCTAATACCCCTTGCAGCGTAAAGGATCTCTGTTAAGAAGGTGAAAAGTCTACTTTATTGGCCTTCATGTTCACCTTGGGAATGGAGACTTGAGATGGGATATGTTTGGGTTTATTTTTGTACTCTGGAAATAAAACCAGTACAAGCTAAATTCTGCCCCAGATGCATTCC